GCGGGCCGGGCCAGGCCACAGCCGTCTGGGAGGGGTGCGGGCACCCTGGGGTGTGGGCGGGACGCGCTGACGATCCGGGCTACGGGAAAGCAAAGCAACTCACCACACCACGGAGAGGTTAGAGGACCTGATCCCGTGAGATGGGAAGAACCAAGAACAGCTTGCAGAGCACCAAAGTGCTCTGTGTGTGGGGTGTGTGTGTATGTGTGTGACATTCCCAGATGATAGGGCGGGACCACACACTTGGGAGGAAGTGAAAAGCCCATCCAAGGAACCAAAGCACGCAGGCCAGGGCCGATCTGATTCGGTTACCAGCGCGTTTTGCTTTTTCCTGTGTCGACACCATAACAAATAACCACTTGTGTAAGCAACCTTAAAAAAAAAAGAAAAAAAGGAAAAGGAAAAAAATGTGCATGTAATTGTGTAGAGTTGTGTTTGTGGTCACAGCTGGAACACTACTGTACACCATCGTTCTCTCTTCAAGCTCAGCCTTGTAAAAAACGGTTGGTGCGCTCCTCAGGCCTGAATCTTCTCAAGTTCGGTTCACCGTGCGGGGCTCATTGGAAAGACTCATTCCGGGCCGTGGATGATAATGGGCAAGTTTCAAACGGAGCTGCAAAAAAAAAAAAAAAAGAAGAAGAAGAAGAAAAAGTCTATCAGCTACCGTCATAACTATGGAGTTGTGAAAACAGGCAAGATAAAGCAAAACTAAAAATCCGGTTTGAGCTGGCTGTGGTGGCACTTGTCTGTAATCCCAGCCCTTGGGAGGCTGAGGCAGGAGAATCGATGTGAGTTCAAGGCCAGCCTGAAATGCCTGGTGAAACCCTGTCTCAAAAAAAAAAATCCAGTTTGACAGACAATATGGATAATTACCGTATCATATTCACATGGGCTCATATTCACTTCTTAATCTCTGCCCACTGGAGAGGGCGAAGGAGTTAGAAGGATTTGCAGAAAGAACTGACAAGAGAAGAAGCCATGGTATTAAAGGCTTCCGGCTGCAGAGCACACCTTGGTACTACTGTCTGCTCAGTCTGTTTCCTCTGTGACTATTTCAGCCTGTCTTGATTCAGGCCTGCAGACTGAAGTGTAGAGGGCGTTTCAATGAAATAGTGCAAGCATAAGGCACTGGATCCTTTGAACAGCCTGCAGGCTTGCTTTCCCGTTGCAACCCCTCCTTCAAACCCTAAACTTCGCAGGGAACGGGAGTCTAACCCTGGCAGTATCTTTTCAGGCTGTAAGTGCCAGGTCAGTAACATCACCAATCTTTGCCAATCAATGATGGTGGCTCCCCCACCCTAACCTCATCCCACCCAACCCCAAACAATGGGGAAGCTTGATCAATTATTTCTCAGTAGAGAAACCCTAGGAATTTGCTTCACAACACAAATCCTGCACTGTGGTTTTACTACTAAAGATTTTTTGTTGTTGTTGTTTTTTCTTCGGTACCAGGAATTGAACTCTGGACCTTGCGCTTGCCAGGCAGGTGCTTTGCCGCTGATCTAAATCCCCAGCCCCCCAAAATATGGAACGCTTCACAAATTTGCATGTCATCCTTGAGCAGGGGCCGTGCAAATCTTCTCTGTATTGTTCCAAGTTTAATATGTGTGCTGCTGAAGCGAGAGTCATGAAATTTCACTGTGCATTCCAGGTGTTCTTTTTGCTTTTTCTAGTTTCATACATCCCCTTTATAACAAAGGGGGATTGACCCTTCCCTGTATGTTTGTCTCTAGCTTTCCTTTGCATGGGTACGTGGTGTCCCTGGCTTTAGTGGATAACAGAGCGAGTGTGTAACTCCATATTCACACCCATACTCTTTCGCCCTTTCCTTCTTAATCTCCACCTCTGACTTAACCCAGCACAGTGAGAAGACTTGCACAGAGGTGTGTGGACAATTGGTCCCTGGTGACCAAGCTCTGTCCACATGCCTTCCCCAAAGCCATTGGACCCAGGGATATGTACCCCAAACATGCAGTTGACCCTGAGCTGGATTTGCTGGGAAAAAATGCCTGCATAAATCCCTAGAAGTGAGCTTGGGCCAGCACTGGAGCAGGGATTTCCATGTTCTCAGGTGCATGAAAGGTGGTATACGTGGAGACGGTATGGAGTCTGGGAAGTGCCTTACCTTTTGGAAGTTATGCTTGAAGCTCCTTTTAAAACACTGAAATGCCTTTTAAAAATTTGTTTCCAGCATTCAGATGGAGAAATTATATCTATACCTACACCTGTGTCTATATCTTTACTTATATCTATGTATCATATATAGCTATATATCTCTGGTTTAGCAGTTCAGCTGTGTTCTGTGTTGACTGCAAGGGTTAGTTTGGCATCCCCAGTTCCTCAGCTCTTCTAGGCCATCAAGTTTGTTCCTGTTAATCCAAATCTTGTAGTTTAAAAACTGCTTCTTCCCATTTTTAATTTTAGTGTCAGCAGCTCAACACAATTTCAGTTCACAAAGCGACTAGAACTTACCAGAAAACAGATGAACACCTCAATCCTAGAGCTGAATCATAACGCCTTGCTAATTTTTAAATTCCTGTTTGTGAGGTTGTCGTGTTTGGGGACACCACCATGAGGATTAATATTGTTGTCAGCTCGACTAGGCCGTGGACCTTCCAGGTAGCTGGTTCAGCAGTGTCTCTGGGTACGTCTGCCAGGGTGCTCTGGAAGGAAGAGGGGGTGGACCGAGGAAAGCAGATGGCCCTGCTCAATGGATAGGCTTCATGCAGTCTCTTCAGGGTCTGAATAGAGCTAGGAAGGTAGAGGAAGCGAATTCTCAGCTTGCACCAGGACATTCGTCTTTTTCAGTCCTTAGTGTTTCTGCAGTTCTCAGGCTGGGATCTATACCACTGGGACATCAGCTCCGAGAACCCTATGTCACTGACTTTACCAGTGGACGTGTATAGAGTCATGTGCCATTTACTATCGGGGATATGTCTGAGAGGCCTCAGAAATGCTGCACCCTTCACAAATCTGCAGAGACACTTAGCTTAGCGCCTGAAGAAGCCCGAGGAGAATATATAGCAGGAGCTGAAAGAACTGCAAGCCTGGGTGCTACTGCATGCAGCAAGGTGAGCCAGCACATAAGTGACAGCGGGTGAGGGCCACGAATGTGCAGAAATATCATGGGTGCTGCTTCACTGCTACCTTTCAGAGCTCATGCAGTGCGGTCCTGGGGACCAAGGCTAACCTGGAACTGTGCAAGGACTGATAGGTAGGTTTGTGGTAGGGCAAACACTGTAGTGTGTACTTGTGTAAACTAAGATAACTATGCTGTCACTAAGCCATATAATTTTGTGGGACCACCATCTAATATGCAGTCCATTGTTGACTGGAACACTGTTATATGACATGTAGCTATATATATAGGACACTAAACATACACCATGTATAGATATACTGTATACGTATATATGCGTATACTGTATATACATACATATCCAGTTGGTTCTGCTGCTCTGGAGAACTCTAACATACTACCAAGTCTAAAATTCATAGTTTTCACTTATATATCCATAAATTGAAAGGACTTTGGAAGGCAAGTTACTTCATGTAGGTCATTTTTCAAAAGAAACCAAAGATAAACACAAGCCAAAGATAACTGTGAGGAGAAAGCCAAGTAATTCTTGTTCATCGTTCTACTTATGTTATCTGCCTCTTCTGAAAGGCTATTTAGGATTGCTATGCATGTATAAATATATATTTTTTTCAAGTCGAGTTCTGACAATAGCGTCTATGTCCTGTACTATCCTAGACATGGATTATTCCACTTCATTTCAGAAAAGGTTTATTGAAAGGGAACGGTGATAGTCCATCGCTCGCAGGTCTATATTCTCTCATGTAAGAAGTTTCTAGGCTTTGTGCTGGTGGAGATAGCTACCAGGACCCAGGCTCTTTCTGTCACCTGGTCCTGTTATTCTTCAGATGCTGGCTTTCTGCCTCCATGCTCACTCCTATGAAGTTGCCAGTTGCTTCAACTGGAGTCTGGATTCAACCCGAGGAACAGGACCACTAAGAGCGGTAAAGAATGTAGAATTTATTATTAGGCAGTCAGCCTGCGTCACTCAGTAAACTAGCTACTAGCCACGTGTGACTATTTAAATTAATTCAAACTAAAGCCTTGTTTTCTCACTTGCATTAGGTACCTGTCAAGCGGTCAGCAGCCAGAGGTGACTAGAGGCAGCCCATGTATGTGTATACCACTTCCACCTTCACGGATGTTGTATTGGACAGGCTGCCTGAGACCTTACCAAATGTGGGAGGAGCTGGAGGAGGGGTCTGTGTAAAGCTGTTTGTTGTCTTTGGTTCTTTTGTTGAGCCTGTAGTTTACTAGAGGTCAGCGGGAAGGGCAGTTGGGGTAGAAAGCTGGTCTTGGATGAGAGCAATGACAGATTGGGATGTATTCTGCTACCTCCAGCCTCAGCAGCATGGGTGTCCTGCAGGGGAAGCTGGTGCGCCTCACAGATCGGCAGAGGCGCTCGACTTAGAAGAAGCCGAAGGAGAAGAAATGGCAGGAGCTGGAGGAGCCGCAAGCCTGAGCGCTGCCGCATGCACCAAGGTGAGCCGGCAGCGCAGGGACGGTGTGTGAGCTGCTCCTGTGCCTGAGCCCTTGCATTTGCCCTCATGGCATGAACACCACGGGTGCTGCTTCCCCGCTGCCTTGCACAGCTCGTGCAATGTGGTCCTCACGCAACCAGTGCTCACCTGTGACTATACAAGATTCTGGGCACCAAGTGGGTTCTGCCTCACTGCCACCCACAAAGCCTCTACTCAGCTGCCCAGGGGCCCAGTCACCAAGTCTGCTCTGGGGACAGGGACAAGGGAGAGACAAAGCCAGTCAGCTGGCTCTCCTGTGAGTGTCTATTTCAGCAGGAAAACAAAAGCCTTGGGAGAAGCACCCCAAGAGATTTCCCTTCATGTCTCATTGACCTCAATTTGATAATATTGCCACCCGTTAACTCCAAAGGAGGCTGACAAAAGAGGATTTGAGCTTTTCCCGCCTCCTACAGTGTAGAGGCAGGCAAAGGAGAAGGGACTGGAAATGGCTCTTGAGTTAGTCAACCAACAGTGGACTCCTGCAGATACGCATAGTGTGTTTCCCAACACGGTCCTCCTTCGAGCTGGAAAAGAAGTGAAAGAACACTTGCTTCAAATCCTTTCACTTACATGTGCTGAAATTGAGGCATAGGAGGGTAAAGTGGGTTAGTCAAGGACACACAGAGTTAGTACAATGGATCTAAGAATATGGCAGTCAGACCATCTTATTTAATTCCAGGTCCCTCTATATTACATGTGCTCTCCAGAAAGAAGCATATGGCAGGATTCCTGTCATCTGCAGAGAACTTGGGAAAATCACTGGATTATTTTTTTTAATGTTATTTTTTATTTGATGGATTGAGAAAAGTTTGAAAAGATTGCACAAGTCCAGTATGGGCAAGGATACAGAGAAATGGGCTCACTATTGGCGATAGTTGAGTGGGTGCACTCTTCCTGCTGGGAAATTTTTTATTACTTATTAAAAATTTTGAACGTGCTTTAGTGTAAAACAATTTTCACAGAAATATACTGCCTTAGGGAGATATAATCTGACAAATTCACAAAGACGTACTTGTTTTGGTGTGTGTGTGACACCCACACACAGACATATTATTGCATCCATCTGGAAATAAATGTCCTCCAGAGGTGACTGATTTAATAAATTATGGTACACCTATTCAATGGAATATACAGTCATTTAAAAAGATATACCTATATTTACTGCAAATGCTCTTTATCACTTACTGAGTAAAAAAAGATATATATATAAAGCCATTAATATAGAATTATACGCATATACATTTGCATAGAATAGTACATGTGTCTAGAAGGATGTTCAACAAAATATTAATGGTAATTTCTCTGGTAGTCCTTTTCTATACCAGTCTCTCATGGTTACTTTTTCTATAATAATATATTACATTTATATTAGGAAATGCAAGGGACCTGCTCTCTGTTTAGAAAAATAATTATAACTGAAGACAAATTCTTTTCTACATGGTGGCAGGTGGGGGTTTAGATGTCAGGATTTCAGTTCTCTTCCATTTCTATCCTGTAATGAGAGGAAAGTTCTCACCAGGTGTTTGAGGCTGATCAGGAACAATAGGGATACTAACCTTACATTTTTCACAAGGTTTTGAAACTGTCATTCTTATTGGAAGATTAGAATTCATTTCACATAAGCACCATTTCTAATAAAAGAATGCTTTACTCAGTGTTAAGCAAATATTTTGACATTGCAATGGTTTCCATCTCATGCACAGGTGGGGCTTTGGAGAGGTGGTTGGATCATGGGGGTGTGTATTTTAGATAGTCCAGTAGATAGTCCACTGATGAGTTGATAGCTACGTGTGATATTTGGAGGAGGTGGTCACTGGGGCATGGCCCAGAAGGGTCTCTCTCTCCTGCCTCCCTTGATTGCTGTCTGCTTCCTGTGCTGTGCTATAAGCAAGCCTCCTCTTGGTCTTTGGGCCGGCGGCTCACTCCTGGCCTCATAGGCCCCTGGAAGGAGGGCTTCCAGAGCACAGGGAGCCACAGGTGGGGAGCGCTGATCTTCTGGCTGGCTAGCTTCCTGCCTCATAGGCCCCCGGAGGGAGGGCCCCCAGCACATAGGGAGCCATGCGGCGGCGAGCACTGTTGCACGCCAGCCCTTAGGCCGGCCACTGCCACTCAATTGAGATCTATCATGACACAGAGAAACAGTGACACAATTGGCCCACCATGCACCGGCTGCAGTTGCCCGCCCTCGGATGTGTGTGAATCATTCAAACTTTGAACAACCCCTGGGAATACATGCCATACAACGGGCCACTCTTGCTCCTGCCTTTGAGAACCAGAAAGGTCCAGAGCCAGTGGAGGAGCAGCTGCTGAACAAGGACTCAGAGAACATGAGAATGCAGACTAAGCCCACAGAGTCAGAGGTCCAGTGGACTGGGGTCACAAGAGCCGCTTGGAAGCTGTAAACCAGGAGGACCTCACACAATACCTGCAGAGACTCACTGGAAGCCATTCTTCCCCTGACAGTACAGGCTGTGGTGGAGCTCCGGAGAAGTCTGCAGCAGGATTCCTTCTGCCTGTGCTGACAGTTAGGGAGAGGACACTAACTGGTTGTGGGGTCCCAATGCGATGGGAGGCTGGAGAGAAAACGCTACAAAAAATGGCTTTCGCCCCAGACAACTCACTTGAATTTTGACAACCCTTAGGCTGTAACTACTTGTTAGATCCTTCTTGTGTATCTCTGTTTTTCTGAGAAACCACTTTGAAGATACCACCATGTATTACAGCAGTCATTGATATTTTCCTACTAATCTATCCATAACTCTGTAATGTTTGTATTGTTCCTATCCTATTTCATAAATGGATCCATGTTTATTATTATGTGTTTCCTACAATAACCATTGAGAATTATTGAATGATTATTCAGTAGGTCACTCATGTATAGTTCTATTTATATTCTTTAGAAGCCACTTTGAAGATACCTAAGTATAGTACAACAACTATTGATAATCTCCTACCTCTTTTGTCTGTAACTCACTATCATTTGTCTATTTGTCCTAGCAATAAAGAGTGTAACTAAAGACGTGGATTTTTTGCCATCCCTTAGTTTATTGCTTAATCTAGTCCTTTCACTACCATCACCCGGAAGTCATTCCTTCATAAAGGTAGTTTAAAAAAGTCAATAGAAACTGACTTCTAGAGAGCCTAGAGTTTGAATTTAATATGTGCTAAGAATTAAGTAAATTGCGAATGAGTGGGTTAAAAAAAGAGCTAAATGGTAATTCTAGAATTAAAACATACAGCAGGATGGAAAGCAGAGGAGCACCTTAGAGATGAATTGTATCTGGTCCTGTTCTTTCGTTGTCCTCATCGCTTTTGGGTTCCAGGAAACACTTTCCTCTTCCTATGGCTTGCGAGATGGAGAGAATTTTGCTTATGACTGCATGACTTGGTTGGATACAAAAAGTTAGGCAAGAGTCTTCTATGCTATCAGATCCCCTGAGCCATCTCCCAAGATAGCCCTGTGTTAACATCTAATCTGTCCGTGTTCTCTGCACTTCACCTTCCTTCTTTCACAGCCTGTGGAAGTGGTTGGGGGACAGGCGGTGACACTTGGCTATTCCTCATCTTCTCTGATCTGAATTTCCTAAGTCTAGAAAACCATAAGCCCAGAACAGAGGCCAGTGTTTGCTATGTTCTATTGTCCTTTTTTGGAGGCAGGGAGCACAGAACACCCTAGCAGCTGCTGAAATGGGAAAGATTGGAGGATTAGGAATTAGTGGGCAAAAAATCTATAGATTAATATGTCAAATTATTACCCAGCTACATTTGTGTCCATGTAGAGGTGTGTGTGTGTATGTGTGCATGTGCATGCGTGTGTGTGTGTGTGTGTGTGTGTGTATGTGTGTGTTCAAGGTTTGGTGGCACTTATTTCAACCTCACAGGTTATTTGAGAAACAATTTGATAAAGTCTTTTCAAAACCCCAAGTCAATAAAAAGTGCTTTACAAATGTATGGAAGCGTACAGACAGTTCTTTTGTCTTCTGAGGGAAAGTATCAGAAAGGCAAATCTACCATACTACTCATCAGGAGCAGGAGATAGATCAAAGGAATCATCCCGTTCACCTCAGGGCAGCAAACTATGGGTGGGTCTAATTTTCTTTTTAAGGTGATGGACAGAGGACAAAGAATATAATGTAATCATGAACATTCTACTTTCTTGGGGGGGTTTGCTTCCAAGCACTCAACCAAAGGCAAGGTAGAAAAGTAAATCTCACACCAAAGCAAGGTTATAGTTATCAACTTGTTTGCTTAAGGTAACACCTCATTACAGCAATTTTGGAGAAATGGAAAAAAAAAAAAGTCCCTCATAAATGGCCCTTAAAAAGTGATCATTATTAACATTTTGATAAGTTGCCTTCAGTTTTTCTTCTATGGTTTTTTATTCCCATACTTATGACAATGTAGTATATAAAATTTTGTATACTGCTTTTAAAGACAACATTATAAATAGCTTACATTGCATATATGTAATGAAGGCCTTGAAATATGAATGTCCTAAGATCCAGAGATTTCATTTCTAGAGATCTATTATTCATTTTATAGTACTTAACACACTGAGGCAGATGTTTACTGGGCAGCATGGAATAGGGCTCTGGAGGCAGATTGCTTTGAATGCAAACTTCAGTTCTCTCCTTAGGTGTGTTACCTAATCTCCGTGTTCCTCAACTTCCTCTCCAGTAATGCAGGAGAATAGTAGCACCTTCCTCCTAGGTGGCAGGTGAACTTGGGGCCTTGGCTCGAAGAAAGTACTCACTGTGTGTCAGTTATTTTAATACTGGACACTTGGGATATGCTGGGCTCCGAGAAATGTTTGACATGATCCTTGCACTAGTGAAGTTAGAATCAGATGATAAAAATAATGAGAGTATCGCTTATTAGGGGGAGCACTACATCCCCAAACTACTAAAGCCTTCGTGCACCTTATCTCATTTTACAAATGAAGAAAGTGAAGCTGAAAGGATA